CAGCCAAATATACATTATTATTAAATAGGATGTACCAACCCCGTACACCCACATATGCACCATTATGAAATATGATGTACCAACCCAGTTCAGCCAAATATACATTATCATGAAATAGGTTTACCAACCCCGTACAGCTACACATACACCATTATGAAATAGAATGTGCCAACCTCATACAGCCACATACATACAATTGTGAAATATGATGTACCAACCCCGTTCAGCCTCAAACGCATAATTATGAAAGAGGATGTTCAAATCCCGTACAGCCACATATTAATGAAATATGATGTCCCAACCCTGTACAGCCACATATACAGCCACATATACATTATTGTGAAAAAGGATGTATCAACTCCGTACAGCCACATATGCACGATTATGAAATATGTTGTAGCAGCCCCATACAACCATATATACATTATCATGAAATATGATGTACCAACACCGTACAGCCATATATTATGAAATAGCATGTACCAAGCCCGTACAGCCACATATTAACGAAATAGGATTTCCAACCCCGTACAGCCACATAAACACCATTATGAAATAGGATGTATCAACTCCGTACAACCACATATACACCATTATGAAATAGGATGTACCAACCCTGTACAGCCACATATACACCATTATGAAATAGAATGTATCAACCCCTACAACCACATATACACCATTATGAAATAGGATGTACCAACCCCGTACAGCCACATATTAACGAAATAGGATTTGCAACCCTGTACAGCCACATATACATCGTTATGAAATAGGATGTACCAACCCTGTACAGCCACATATACACCATTATAAAATACGATGTACCAACCCCATACAACCACATATACACCATTATGAAATAGGATGTACCAACCCCGTACAGCCACATGTACACTATTATGAAATAGGATGTACCAACCCTGTACAGCTACATATTAACGAAATAGGATTTCCAACCCTGTACAGCCACATATACACCATTATGAAATAGAATGTATCAACCCCGTACAGCCACATATACACCATTAT